AGCCGGTTTATATCTAGAAAACTTCTTGATTAGCATTGTATTTGTTATTTTAAGTGTTACAAGACGTTTCTTTTATTTACTTACTGTACATCTAGAAAATCAATATTTTTCTTATGGCCAACTGTACGCGGCATGCTCACGTGTATCGTGCAGCAGAGATTTGTACACATACACACCAGACAACAAAGCTGAAAACATTGTTTATAAAAACGTTCTGTAATAATTGCTGCAAAGTAATCTCAACCCCATTGTAATCTGAAACTGCACAAATTAAAAGCCTTTTGAACCAACCACTCTTTCATTTAACTGTTAGCTACCCCAGAATTTGGTACATTTACCTCCGCACTTAAATTCAATATCGCCCGCAGTGAAGTGGGGGTATTTTAGCTAGCTTCAAAGAGCGAATTTGAAAATTGAAAATCCTAACTATACCAGTATTGATTTATTGTATGGATTCAATTAGTAAGCCCCCAAAACTGTGATCATAATAATTAAAATTTAAGAATGTTAAAAGTGATATAGTTTCTTAACTAGGCTATGCTATTTCTTGTTTTACAAGAGAATAAAAATTGTTTATAGTTCTAGAGTTAAGGAAGCGAAAAATTCAGCAATGTTAATAAGATAGCTGCCGCTCTCAACACTTGCATAGCGGCATGGGAGCTGGTCAACGAGTACAGAAAACCCATTTATCGCTCAGGAAATCAATACACTAACAAGTTGGACTGAGTGGGTGAAAACCATATCCTGGGATTAGTGAAAGGTTTTAGGGACTCCGAAAGTTGGGATATCAATGGTCTGTCATGCTCTATTCGTAAGGGCACAGTTGATGGATAATCATGCCACCGACTAAACTTGTTAACCTCTGCTTGACTAAGGGAATCTTTCCTGACAGCCTAAAGATAGCTAGGACTATCCTCATATTCAAGAAGGCTGATCCCTCTTACACGACAAATTATAGACCTATCTCTATCTTGCCAGTCTTCTCTGAGATGCTGGAGACCAAAAGATAATTGTTGACATATTTTGAAAACAACCAACCATTCCCAAATGATCATCTAGGCTTTAGACACATCCTCTGCTCTCTTGAAACTTATCGGTGCTATTACAGATGCTTTCGAGGATAACGAGTCGGTCCTTTTGAGACTCTGTGACCTGAGCAAGGCCTTTGATGTGGTTTCACATCACATACTGTTGGCCAAGCTAACGAGGCACGGTATTGGAGGCACAGTTTTGAACACCTTAAGCAGCACCTCAGTAGCTACTTGACAGACCGAAAGCAGCTAGTTCTGGTGAACGTAAATGGGTAAACCTTATTGTTTGCTGACGATACCACCCTGTTCATTAGGGAAAGACCATTGAGCGATTGATAGATCTACAAAAAACGCTGCATACACTCGTATTTGAAAAATATTACGTATATATAGCAATTATTGTTAGATCTACAAAAAACGCTGCATACACACAGATTTGAAAAAAATTACGTTTATATAGCGATTATTGTTAGATCTACAAAAAACGCTGCATACACACAGTTAGATTAGGCTAAGTTAGGTTAGGTTAAGACAGGTTACGATAAGTTAGGTTAAGTTAGGCTAGGCCAAGTTAGGTTAGGAAAATCCGGCAATGCCTTACACTTATCTTTACATACTTAGCTAGTTACACTTTCGCATCAGCTATCTTATATGGCGTAGGTTAGGAAAATCCAGCAACGCCTTACACTTATCTTTACATACTTAGCTAGTTACACTTTCGCATCAGCTATCTTATATGGCATTGCCGGATTTTCCTAACCTAACTTGGCCTAGCCTAACTTAACCTAACTTATCGTAACCTGTCTTAACCTAACCTAACTTAGCCTAATCTAACTGTGTGTATGCAGCGTTTTTTGTAGATCTAACAATAATCGCTATATAAACGTAATTTTTTTCAAATCTGTGTGTATGCAGCGTTTTTTGTAGATCTAACAATAATTGCTATATATACGTAATATTTTTCAAATACGAGTGTATGCAGCGTTTTTTGTAGATCTATCAATCGCTCAATGGTCTTTCCCTAATGAACAGGGTGGTATCGTCAGCAAACAATAAGGTTTACCCATTTACGTTCACCAGAACTAGCTGCTTTCGGTCTGTCAAGTAGCTACTGAGGTGCTGCTTAAGGTGTTCAAAACTGTGCCTCCAATACCGTGCCTCGTTAGCTTGGCCAACAGTATGTGATGTGAAACCACATCAAAGGCCTTGCTCAGGTCACAGAGTCTCAAAAGGACCGACTCGTTATCCTCGAAAGCATCTGTAATAGCACCGATAAGTTTCAAGAGAGCAGAGGATGTGTCTAAAGCCTAGATGATCATTTGGGAATGGTTGGTTGTTTTCAAAATATGTCAACAATTATCTTTTGGTCTCCAGCATCTCAGAGAAGACTGGCAAGATAGAGATAGGTCTATAATTTGTCGTGTAAGAGGGATCAGCCTTCTTGAATATGAGGATAGTCCTAGCTATCTTTAGGCTGTCAGGAAAGATTCCCTTAGTCAAGCAGAGGTTAACAAGTTTAGTCGGTGGCATGATTATCCATCAACTGTGCCCTTACGAATAGAGCATGACAGACCATTGATATCCCAACTTTCGGAGTCCCTAAAACCTTTCACTAATCCCAGGATATGGTTTTCACCCACTCAGTCCAACTTGTTAGTGTATTGATTTCCTGAGCGATAAATGGGTTTTCTGTACTCGTTGACCAGCTCCCATGCCGCTATGCAAGTGTTGAGAGCGGCAGCTATCTTATTAACATTGCTGAATTTTTCGCTTCCTTAACTCTAGAACTATAAACAATTTTTATTCTCTTGTAAAACAAGAAATAGCATAGCCTAGTTAAGAAACTATATCACTTTTAACATTCTTAAATTTTAATTATTATGATCACAGTTTTGGGGGCTTACTAATTGAATCCATACAATAAATCAATACTGGTATAGTTAGGATTTTCAATTTTCAAATTCGCTCTTTGAAGCTAGCTAAAATACCCCCACTTCACTGCGGGCGATATTGAATTTAAGTGCGGAGGTAAATGTACCAAATTCTGGGGTAGCTAACAGTTAAATGAAAGAGTGGTTGGTTCAAAAGGCTTTTAATTTGTGCAGTTTCAGATTACAATGGGGTTGAGATTACTTTGCAGCAATTATTACAGAACGTTTTTATAAACAATGTTTTCAGCTTTGTTGTCTGGTGTGTATGTGTACAAATCTCTGCTGCACGATACACGTGAGCATGCCGCGTACAGTTGGCCATAAGAAAAATATTGATTTTCTAGATGTACAGTAAGTAAATAAAAGAAACGTCTTGTAACACTTAAAATAACAAATACAATGCTAATCAAGAAGTTTTCTAGATATAAACCGGCTACTTAAAGAGTTTGGTCTTGTGCTTTATTTATTATCATGGCAGAGGTAATCTTCATTGGAAATTGAAGCCGTTTAAATGTAAACGCTAAGTCTGTTGGAATGATTGGAATTCTTGGTATGAAAACTATATAGCTTTTTGCACAAGCCTGGGCTTCAATAACGTTTTGTTTAAACGAAGTAACGATAAGTCGGACACCATTGCAGAGTCGTGGAGGTTCCAAGTTACTCAGTAGCATTACAGGTTCCCCACTTTGAATTCAATTTTGTGAGGAGGGACATCTGGAAACTCCAAGGTGTTGAGAAACTATACTAGATTTTGAACGGCTGCATCCTCTTCTAACACAGTGTCAATAGACAGATACTCTGATGTGCCACCTGGAATTGCTGTAACTATCTTGCTGTTGATTGTATTACCAGTGTAATTTTTGGGAGCAAGTACAGCTCTTTCACACAACCATTCACTGGACAAATGATTCTCAGCAACTGATGGTAACTAATGAACTTTAAGTATTAGTTTCTCCGATGAATCAACCATGTTGGCATAGTTTAGAGGAAATGAGATTCTTTGTTGGCTATCAACAGGTATCTGTCAATTTCCGATGTTTAATAAATTGGAAAAAAAACAATTCAGCATCGTGTTCGTTTTGAAGAATCTCTCTCATGTTCTGCATCAAATTATTTTCCTCAACGTAACTCCACAAAGCAGACTTTTTAATGCAGGTACTTATTTCGTCTGCAGGTGCTCCTCGAGGAATTACTGGAAGGGTTTGCCTGAAATCTACAGCCAATAAAACAACCAACCCTCCCATTAAGTCCTAACGGTTTATGGCAGCTTTAAGTGTCAAATCGAGAACTTCTAGTGCACGTTTGTGTGACATGGTGCACTCATCCCATACCAAAAGTTTGCAGCATCTAAGAGCTTTCCCCCACGATCAGAATTTTCCTTATATTACAGGTAACAGCATCACCAGAATTCAACTTGAGAGGTGGTTTGAAAGCTGCTGTACGACCGCCTTCTAGAAGCGTTGACGCAATTCCAGATGACGCAACAGCAAGAGCAATTTGGTCTTTTCTTCTTACGCCTGCCAACAGCAAATTTGTTAGAAAAGTCTTACCAGTACCACCTGGTGCATCCAAGAAAACTATGGTTCCTTTTTGCTGAGCAATTCTGTTTGCAACAAAACAGAACACATCAAGTTGTTCCGGTGAAAGTTCCGGTAAATTTCCTAAAACATGGTTCTGTAGGTCAGTAGTATTGTATGGCATCTCTTTGAGAACTTCTGTATTGACATTGACCTCTTGTTGAGGTGTGGGAAGGCCAAATGAACTCAAATCTCTACCACACATAGTTGAAACTAGAGATGCAATTGCCAGTAACGCATCATTGTAAACTACCTCATTATAAAGTGTACCTGGAACTTCTGTATTGACATTGACCTCTAGTTGAGGTGTGGGAAGGCCAAATGAACTCAAATCTCTACCACACATCGTCGAAACCAGACATATAATTGCCAGTAACACTTCATTGTAAACTACCTCATTATAGAGTGTACCTGGAACTTCTCAATGAAAACACACCAATATGTCTTCAGCCATGTCGTCTTTAAGGGTTTTTCAAAGTTGTAAGGGGTTTGACAGCCCACAGGTGCTCGCCAGGATCACGTTGATGTGGCTCACGTTGACTCACGTTGATACATTGTGGAGAGCGAGTCAGAACAGCATCACGTATTGTGGATTCACAGCAGTCATCACGATCGAGCAAAGAATGGACTTCACACACTTCTCTATATGGATTGTATGTATGGCTTTCAACAGTTCTTGAGTCATCAAAGCAAGTAGGACCACATACACTTTGAAGTACGGTAGCATACGTAAACAGTAGCACTCGAAGTTAACGGCCGTGGTACTCGTCCTAGCGCTTCTGAATACTTTAAATCAGGCTGATTCTCCACTGGAAAGCCAATACCGCAACGCTGGAACTCTTTTCGTGAAGCGTTCCAGGTGTAGTAGTGGGGTACTTCATTGCAAAAAAGGGTCCTAGCAAATTCATCATTAGTACACAGCTCAAAAAATGCAGTAAATTTAGTATCTCTTGGGTTTTGTAAAACGTAATGTAGGCTGTTGTCGTTGAAGTAAACCCTCTGGAAGTTCTCAAAGTGAACACTCGGATAAGTAACAGTGGGATTTCATGAACTAGAAACCCAAAGATACACCATTCTGCCTCATTACAACTCAAGTAACGTCCTGATTGGTAAAGAGTTACCTCATCTCTGGTGCAGCTTCCCTCAACAGCTTGGTCGCTTCCCTTGTTTACATATTTGCATATGTATTTTATGCTCTTCACTGAACTGCAGTACTCCATGTTAATATGGGCGTTGAAAATTTTTGTCAAACTGGGTTGTATGGTACAATCCAACAGTTGTCAATATCCACAGATCCTCATCCTGATACATTTATTTGAGAATAATGTCCACCGTAATTTGTTGATCACTTTCTGTACAAAGGGTACCCATTATAGCTATATCTCAGTCATAATCTATCTGGGATATATCTTTGTACACTTTCCATCACTATTTGACCAAGATCATTAGAGCATACTGTTTCATTGTTGGTATTTCAATTCTAGCACACATGTCTACAATAAACCGACTAAACCGTTATCTGTAGTGAATGATTGGGTTGAAGTGGTTTTGACAAACCATTATGACACATAAAACTGTATTGCAGTCGCTTTTTAGTTGTAGGATGCTTGGTTGTGGGATTACTCTGTTGAATGTTGAAATGGTAGCTTTCCTGATCACTCTAAAATATGGAAGGTATTGCAAAACATCATAGAAGCAATGAGTTTCAGATACTCTAACCAAAAGTGTCATCTCTTTGGCACAGCACAATATCTCGTGAGTGAAACTTATTGCCAACAATGACCACTGCCACTTCATCAACAGTCGAAGCGTCGAATCATCACTCATGCTCCCCAGCTGGACAGCAGTCAGCACGCATAATGGCTTTAAAACCATCTGACGGCCACTGATCTAATGCGGTTTTAAAGGACGCAATTAAAACATTGTTGCCATAAAAAATGCGTTGAAGGCTTTGTACTATGTTTTAGG